TGGCACCCCACTCCAGTATTCTTGACTGGAGAATCCCACGGATAGATGAAGCCTGGTGGACTATAGCCCATAGGGTCACACAGAGTTGGGCACGACTAAAGTGACTTAGCATGCATGCAAGGTGGGTGGAAAAGTTAAAAGTTTGAGTAAGTAGATTTTATATATTTTTCTGACAGTGAGTCATTTTTTCAAGTCTGTATTGAATTTGTTACAATATTACTTCTGTTTTATGTTTTGGTTTTTTGGCCACAATGCATGTGGGATTTTAACTCCCTGGCCAGGGAATGAACCCATACCCCCTGCACTGGAAGCTGAAGTCTTAACTACTGCACCACTGGGGAAGTCCTGAGGACGTAGATTTTAAATGAACACCAAAGTGACTCCAAGCAGAGGAATAGCAAGTCCTTCTCATATCTCCCCTCTGAGTTCAGATCCTAAACTGTGAACCCCTGTGATCATGAGAAATGGTGAAGATACACTCTGAATGGCCAGGTTTTAAAAATGGGATTCTTGCTCTTGTGCTTTAACCAGTATCCTCCACACCTTAGTGCAAAGAGAAGAGGGACCTAGATTGGAATGTCTAACAGTCTCATAGACACCTCCATCAGCAAATTACAAGAAATCAATGATAGGTTCATATTTTAGAAAACAGCTAATATTAAAACATGACACTGAAAAACACAGTATGTAATCAAATTCGGAACTGAAATTAAGACAAAATATTGCAGTGAAAAAGGGCCCAGATGTTTGCAGGCTTCTAGTTAGAATTAAATTTCTAGTATTCAATGGTACTTTTCAATTTGTTTGGGGTCAAGAGGTTATTAACACCATAGAAAGAGTTAATAGAAAAATATGGTCTGGGACAAAGATATGTTATTATATTTTACATGAATGTGTGTTATGGGAAATTATCAGTTCTTAAAAACAACCATTCCTGCTTCATTAAGGGAAAGCCAATTACATCAAATCTCATCTCCTATTGTATTTGATTTTCCAATTAGTAGTATTCTAGAGACAGGAGCACAAGTCATAATACAATCTATACTTTTATGTCTATAACTACTTAATAAAAGATAAAGAACATACAGTTTTTTATCCAACTAAATGACACAGAGTTTATTTCTAAATTTGCGCTAGTAGTTTTGCAGGCGATGTAAGAGATGTGGGCTCAATCCTTGGGTCAGGAAGATCCCCTGGAGGAGGAAATGGCAACGCACTCTGGGAATCCCATGGAGAGAGGAGCCTGGGTGGGCTACAGCCTACAGGGCTGCAAAGAGTCAGAGATGACTGAAGCAACTTAGCACATAATGCTTACTCATTTTTTTTTCCTGCTCTAGCTTTAAATCTGAACTGAAAGCTGTTACAAGAAGACAAGCAGAATTAATATATAGGGACGAGGGACATCTACTTAAAGCAAGACATTTAAGCATGGTTGTAAACGCCCAAGGCACACATGACCCATAAGCCAAGGAACAAAAATCGAAAGCACAAAAAGATATCCGTGCACTGCCAAGAACTGAAACCTGGACTTCCCTGGCAGTCCAGTGGTTAAGAATTCGCCTGACAATGCAGGGGACATGGGTTCAATCCCTGGTCCAGGAAGATCCCACCTGCCTCAGGGCAATTAAGCCCACGCTCCACAACAGGAGAAGGCGCTGCAGTGAGAAGCCCGTGACTACAACGAAGAGTAGCCCCCACTCACTGCAACTAGAGAAACGGCCACAAAAAAGCAACAATTACCCAGCAGAGCCAAAAACAGACAAATATATAAATAATGAAGAATCTGAAAAATAAAATAGTGAAACCTGGCAAGGATTTAAAAATGTTTGTGGGTACAGATGGGAGTATCAGACAACGGGAACAAGCTGACATTTTTTCCTAGACCCTTCAGAAGTGCTGTGGGCTTCCTGGGTGGCTCAGCTGGTAAAGAATCCGCCTGCAATGTGGGAGACCTGGGTTTGATCCCTGGGTTCTCGGCTGGAGAAGGGAAAGGCTACCCACTCCAGTATTCTGGCCTAGTCTATGAGGTCACAAAGAGTCAGACACGACTGAGTGACTTTCACTTTCACTCAGAATTGCTGTACTAGTGACTGGATTCTCCTGCAATACAGTGATGCTCCCCAGAGGCTACGGAAATCTCTGAGACAACCTGCCCCATAGCTCATGGTCCAGATTGCTGTGCCTTTTGACTTCATAAATATTTTTATTTAAATGTTGCTATTGTTGTTTTGCCTCAACTTTTTAAAAACTAATTAATTTATTTTGGCTGGGTCTTCATTGCAACACGAGGGCTTCTCTGGTTGCAATGCGCTGGATTCTGTAGTTGTGGCATGAGGACTCTAGAGCACACGGCCTTAGTAGCTGTGGTAAAATTGCCTCGTTATGGCCTATGGGATCTAGTTCCCTGACCAGGGATCAAACTTGGAACGCCTGCTTTGGGAACATAGAGGCTTAGCCACTGGACCATCAGGGAAGTCCCCTTGCCTCAACTTTTGCTGTCAAGTTTTTTAAGATCGTTCATGTGGCACGGTCTCTTTCTGAACCAGTATTTCCCTCACTCCTTTCCACTGAGGCACAGAAATGTGTTACCATCTAATGTATAAAGAATGAATGGAAACACAGTGAATATTCCAAGCCAAATGATAACATTTTCCAGCTTCACTTGCAGCCAAGCCTGACCATGGAACTGGCTTTGGGCCCATGAAGTATAAGCAAAGATGGTGTGTGAGATCTAGAGACAGGACAAGTCCCTATTTCCTGTCGTCTGGAAGACAAGTATAAGGGCTGGAGCTTCAAAAGCCATTGTACACAATGGAGTGGTCTTGAGGCTGAGATCAGACGCTATGATCTTTGGAAGCCGAAGGTAAATGAAGCTCAGGTCTCTGAGAACTCTCAGGGGCTACCACAATACTCCTGAAATACCTACACCTAGACTTTACGTGAGGGGGCTTCCCAAGTGGCTCAGCGGTAAAGAATCTGCCTGGCAATGCAGGAGACCTGGGTTCGATCCCTGGGTCAGAAAGATCCCCTGGAGGAGGGCATAGCAATCCACTCCAGTATTCTTGCCTGGAGAATCCCATGCACAGAGGAGCCTGGTGGGCTGCAGTCCCTGAGGTCACAAAAGAGGCAGACAGGACTGAGTGACTAAGCATGAACATAGACATTACATGACAGAGTAAGTCCTTGAGCATTTAAACCACTGACTGAATCTTTGCTGCTGCCTAACCAAAAGCAATTTTTAATGGATAAACAATGGAATTAGAATTTACAGAAGATGAGCTAGATGGATTGATGGATAGAGTCTAGAGATACCTATGAGATATTGGTAAGTACAACAGTTAGGTTAAGGGAAAACACATTACACATGATCCTATTTTTAATTCTAACTTTTACACTTTTTACAAAAATATTTATTTTAAACTTTACAAAACGGTAGGAGTTGCATGTGTGTATATGAAGGGGAAATGGCTTAGAAAGTTGTGCACTGCAGTGTTATCAAGGGTTGTTTGTAGGGGAGGAGATTAAGTAGAACACCTATTTCCTTTATTACTGGTTAATTACAAATTACCCTTTGTAATTAGAATAAAATAAGTCATTTATTTGTTATGCACATAGCTAAAGAGACAATACATTATTCTGGTTTTATCCTATGATTTCATTAAAAATTTTCAGTTAAGCTACATATTACAATGATTTTTTTTTTCTAAATACAGAATTGTACTTATTTTAGCTATCAACAATCTCTGTGGAGTAGGAAATGGCAATCCCCACTCTAGTATTCTTGTCTGGAAAAACCTGGCAGGCTACAGTCCATGGAGTCAGAAAAGTCAACATGATTGAGCACATCCTACCTCCTTTGATTAAGTAATGTATTAATGCTATTAGTTCAGCTTCAGCAATTTTAACATATATGCTGCAATAATATAAGATGTTAATGATACAGGAGACTGTATGTAGTGGGGTGTGCACAGAGGGTATCAGTTCAGTTCAGTTCAGTCGCTCAGTTGTGTCTGACTCTTTGAAACCCCATGAACCGCAGCATGCCAGGCTTCCCTGTCCATCACCAACTCCCAGAGTCCACCCAAACCCATGTCCACTGTGTCAGTGATACCATGCAACCATCTCATCCTCTGTCGTCCCCTTCTCCCCCTGCCCCCAATCCATCCCAGCATCAGGGTCTTTTCCAATGAGTCAACTCTTCACATGAGGTGGCCAAAGTATTGGAGTTTCAGCTTTGGCATCAGTCCTTCCAATGAACACCCAGGACTGATCTCCTTTAGGATGGACTGGTTGGATCTCCTTGCAGTCCAAGGGACCCTTGGGAATTGTATACTTTCTGTTCAATTTTCCTGTAACTTAAAACTGCTCTAAAAAATAGTCTATTATCTTTAAAAGAAAAAATCTCTTAAGCATATAAACTATATTTAAGGCAGAAGTAAAATCAATTTCTTAAAAAAAAGGAAATAGCTTGTAACTAGACTGGGGATGTCTTACTGTAATTGACTTGACAGTAAATCACAAATCTTGAAGGTGAATACATAATAAAATCCAAAGGAGATATGTTCAAGAACAGGAGTAAAAACAGACTTCGTAAACTCATCAATAATCCCACATCCTCAAAATCCACAAAGATTAACATAAGAAAGGGAAGTTTCCTCCAGCATATTAAAATAAACTCTGCATAAAATACTTGCCTGGGGTGATTTTTGTACTGAGTAACAAAACAACAGAGAATAGAACAAAAGTTAATAATTCACTGCTTGGAAATAACTGATTCCTTAAAAGAGATCTAAAAAGTTCATGCAGGTGGGTAACTGCCCAGAGCCACGAGGGACAGGATAAGCAGTCTTAGTCGTGTTTTCTCCTCCATTCACCCTCTGATCTAGTGACTTGTAACCTAGAACAGTGACTTCCAAACCACGCTGCCTCTTTTCAGATCCTCGCCATCTGACTGAGCAGGGAATAACTGAGTCTCTTTTTGGGTAAGCAGGTGCACTTACCTTTCCACTGGCCTGTCAGCACCAAGGTCCTATTAATCACCACATCAATTTCTGTAGCTCCATCTTCCACGGCCAATCTGATCTCTTCTAATCGTGTTTTCAAATGAGTCTGTCCAGCTGGAAAGCCAGTGGCCACTAGCAGAGAAAGAAGGAAGGAAGAAAGGAAGGAAGAGAAGGAGAGAGATAAATTTCAGTTGGTCAGTATCTCAACAAAGAATTTCAGACCAAAAAAAATCAGCGTTCAGACCAAAGTATAAATGACACTTTAGAACTTCATGCATACCTAGATGCCCATCAGCAGACGAATGGATGAGGAAGCTGTGGTACATATACACCATGGAATATTACTCAGCCATTAAAAAGAATTCATTTGAATCAGTTCTAATGAGATGGATGAAACTGGAGCCCATTATACAGAGCGAAGTAAGCCAGAAAGATAAAGACCATTACAGTATACTAACACATATATATGGAATTTAGAAAGATGGTAACGATAACCCTATATGCAAAACAGAAAAAGAGTCTCAGATGTATAGAACAGACTTGTGGACTCTGGGAGAAGGCGAGGGTAGGATGTTTCAAGAGAACAGCATCGAAACATGTATATTATCTAGGGTGAAACAGATCACCAGCCCAGGTTGGGTGCATGAGACAAGTGCTCGGGCCTGGTGCACTGGGAAGACCCAGAGGGATCGGGTGGAGAGGGAGGTGGGAGCGGGGACCGGGATGGGGAATACATGTAAATCCATGGCTAATTCATTTCAATGTATGACAAAAACCACTGCAATGATGTAAAGTAATTAGCCTCTAACTAATAAAAATAAATGGAAAAAAAAAGAACTTCATGCATACCTTGCAAAGTGAACTGTGAAGAAACTGAATGCGATCTCATATAGCACTGAAGTTAGGATAAATATTAGTAGTATATCTTTTGGAAGATCTGAGATTAAGCTGCTGGCAGAGATGCTAATGGGGGAGCTTTAGGAAAATAGTGATTAAGAAGCTATGTCATCATCACAGTGATACTCATAAAGTAGTAGCAGTAGCCCTGTGGATGGACACTCGTTAATTCTGGAGCCTACTCTAGACCAAGTTGGCTATCACTGTTATGACTTATTCATATGTATAGCTGTTGCAACCAAATGGAAATACAGGTTCCATCCACTGCCCATCTTCAAATGAACAGTCAAGCAGATGAGGACAAAGGGGAGATACTGCATGATAGAAAAGCACCTAATTAGTCCACAAAACTGGAGCAGCGGCGAGTCGGGAAGAACTGGGCCAAGTATGAAAGTGAAAGTGAAAATCACTCTGTCGTGTCCAACTGTTTGAGACCCCATGGACTATACAGTCCATGGAATTCTCCAGGCCAGAATACTGGAGTGGGTAGCCTTTCCCTTCCCCAGGGGTCTTCTCAACCCAGGGATCGAACCCAGGTCTCCCATATTGAACAGAAGGAAAATAAAAACACAGTGACACTTTTGGAAAAAGTATTAACATTTTTAACATGCTCATCACTGATTTCATTCTTGTGTTTAAAAGTAACCTTTCATGTTTCTTTGATGTTATTAAAATTCTTTGGGTCTGCTACCTTAGAGGAAAGCATGTTTCCCTGTTGTATAAAGGAAAAGCTGAAGTGATTGAACCTAATGAAAAATATTAAAAAGCAGAGGTAATGCCTTGCTGACAATGGTCCGTCTAGTCAAAGCTATGGCTTTTCCAGTGGTCATGTATGGATGTGAGAGTTGGACTATAAAGAAAGCTGAGCACCGAAGAATTGATGCTTTTGAACTGTGGTGTAGGACAAGACTCTTGAGAGTCCCTTGGACTGCAAGGAGATCCAACCAGTCCATCCTAAAGGAAATCAGTCCTGAATAGTCATTGGAAGGACTGATGCTGAAGCTGAAACTCCAATACTCTGGCCACCTGATGTGAAGAACTGAGTCATTGGAAAAGACCCTGATGCTGGGAAAGATTGAAGGCAGGAGGAGAAGGGAACGACAGAAGATGAAATGGCTGAATGGCATCACTGACTCAATGGACATGAGTCTGAGCAAACACCATGAGCTGGTGATGGACAGGGAGGCCTGTCGTGCTGCAGTCCATGGGGTCGCAGAAAGTCAGACACAGCTGAGCGACTGAACTGAACTGAATGAAAAATGAAAGGTGATTAAGGTGAAGCTGCCAAATACTTCAGGAATCTTCATGAATAGGCTCTATTAATATATAAATACTGTATACTTTGTTTCTCTTGATGTATCCCTAACAAAATAAATTAATGATCTTCTCAGCTTCCTTCTTTAAACCACCAGGATATCCCTCTAATATCTTTTAAAAGGAGAATCTAATTTAATATCTATCTATCCATTTGTAAACACACAAACCCAGGGAAGCATTCAGGAGGACTTTCCCCTCCCTCATGCCTCGTTTTCCTACTGCATCTTTCTTTAAGTCAGTAACTCTTGAACATACCCTCTTTTTTATCATTCAGGTTTCGGGGTGGCTCTTGTCATCTCCCACAAGGACTATGATCAGTATAACTCCATTTTAACCCCCCTTAATTTATCTACTACCATCCCTTAACTTACTACATTATGAAGTAGATCACGGCATTCTCTACTTAACATTTCTTGGTATCTTCCCCATCAACAAAATAAAAGCCAAATACCACAGCCTGGTAAGGTTTCCCCATGCGGTCTGGCCCCCACCTACCTCTCCAGCTTCAACTCGCCAGCTCTCCCTTTGTCCTGCCTTAGGAAGCAACACCTGCAAACTCATTTCAGTTCCCTGAATGCACTTCTGCACTTTCACACATGCTAGCTCCTCTGATGGAAATGCCACTCCTTAGCTTGCATGTGTGCTAAGTTGCTTCAGTTGTGCCCGACTCTTTGCGACCCTATGGACCACAGCCCGCCAGGCTCCTCTGTTCTTTGGATTCTCCCAGCTAGAATACTGGAGTGGGTTGCCATGCTCTCCTCCAGGGGATCTTCCTGACCCAGGGATCGAACCAGCTTCTCTTGTATCTCCTGCATTGGCAGGTGGGTTCTTTACCACTAGCGCCACCTGGAAAAACCACTCCCTAGCTTATCCACTCTCTAAAGTCCTCCTTATCCTTAAGAGCCAATGCAGTTACATCTCTTTGATGCAGCCCCTTACCCTCTGAGCATCACCATCCTCTGCAGAATAAATCACACTGCACTCAGAGTTACAACTGTATCTTCTGCATAGTTTTATTATTATATTTTACAAAAAAATAATGTGTCCTACATTATGATTTTTTTTTTTTAACTTAACGATTCCTCCTCAACAACTGAATTTCCTTTAAGGGCAAACCTGCATCTCCTGCACTGGCAGGTGGGTGCTTTTACCACTGAGTCACTGGGAAAGCCCACGGCTCTGTAGTCTTAGGAATTAATATCATGTCTGCTACTCAACAGGCAACTGACAAATATGAAAAGAATGAATAAAAACAATCAATTAAATAGACAAGACTGGTTAAAATCATAATATAAAACTATAAGGGATTTCCCAAGTGGCTCAGTAGGTAAAAAATCTGCCTGCCCATGGAGAAGATGCAGGAGAGGCAGGTTAGATCCCTGGAGAAGGAAAAGGCAACCCACTCCAGTATTTTTGCCTGGAAAATCCCATGGACAGAGTGGCTGGTGGGTTACAGTCCATGGGGTTGCAAAGAGTTGGAAATGACTGAGCACAGTACAGAAGCATAAAATCATATAGACAGGGACTTCCCTGGTGGTCCAGTGGTTAAGAATCCGCCTTGCAATGCAGGGGACATGCGTTTGTCCCTGGTGTAGGAACTAAGATCCCACATGCCTCAGGCAATGAACCCACACACCACAACTACTGACACCCACACACCCAGAGCTTGCACTCTTCAACAAGAGAAGCCACTTCAGTAAGAAGCAACTAGAGAGTAGCCCCTGCTCACGGCCAACCAGAGAAAGTTAAAGTGCATCAGTGAATATTCAGCACAGTCAAAAATAAATAAAATAAAAGAACTACATAGATAATACCCCAAGGTGTCTGAGTTGAAGGGAAACATACTGAAAAAGCAACAACAGAAACCACAGACGTTACCTGATGCCACTGGGATGTCACAGCCTGCAGCCTTTAGAGCTTTCACTGCATCACACACGCGGGCAGGATAAACACAAACGGCAGCTGTAGTGATGCCTATGGAAAAGGAGGCATAACGGCCTACTTCATGTGAAGTTCAAGTCACACAATATGCTTTTAATTATTATTTATACTTCAACATTGGCAGAAATAAAAATCAGAGAAAAAATAATCCTCCTACAACATTGCAACAAATTAAAAGGCTTTTACTTTCCACATTCCCTTCTAGTTCTTGACAACATGGATCATTTTCTCATCCTTAGAGAATAAAATATTTTTAATACATTGTTCCTGGGAGTTAATACAGTACCATTTGTTGAAAAAATATCCTAAATGGTAAACTTTGTGGCTTTGACTCAATGAAAGTGTTTTATTTCATGTAGGTAACAAAATCTAAGTTTTTACAGGGTTCACACAGGACAGTAGATGAAGAAAAATATAAGTGAACCTTGTAAGATAGTACAGGCAGACCTTGGAGATAGTGCAGGTTCAGTTTCAGATCACCGAAATAAAGCAAGTATCGCAATAAAATGAGTGATAGGAATTTTTTGGTTTCCTGGTGCATATAAAAGCTATGGTTACCCTATATTGTAGTCAATATTAAGTGTGCAAGAGCATTATCTTTAAAAAGTACATACCTTAAAGTTAAGGTATGTACTTTTTAAAAACATAATGCTAAATAATTACAATCAAAGATCACTGATCACAGATGACATAACGAGTATTACAATAATGAAAAAGTGTGCATTATTGAGACAATTATCAAAATATGACAGAGACAAGAAGTCAGCGAATGCTGTTGGGAAAACAATGCCAACAGAGTTGCTCAATGCAGGGTTGCCACAAACCTTCAATATGTAAAACACACAGGGTCTGCCAAGTGCAATAAAACAAGGTATGCCTGCAAAATGACATGTCACTAATCCTATTTCCTCTTTTGCAGAAAATAATAAAATCTGGATCTGGAGCCCCCAGTTTGAGGAATAAGCTCTTAAATTAAAAAATCAAACAGACACTATAAAACTGTAGCGTAAGACTCATATAAAGCTGCTGCTTTTAAGTGTTATAAATGGCAGATGTTTTATTGTCAACATAAAAGAAACATACTAAATAGTTTAACTGGACATGGAACAACAGACTGGTTCCAAATAGGAAAAGGACTACGTCAAGGCTGTATATTGTCACCCTGCTTATTTAACTTATATGCAGAGTACATCATGAGAAACGCTGGGCTGGAGGAAGCACAAGCTGGAATCAAGATTGCTGGGAGAAATATCAATAACCTCAGATATACAGATGACACCACCCTTATCGCAGAAAGTGAAGAACTATAGAGCCTGTTGATGAAAGTGAAAGAAGAGAGTCAAAAAGTTGGCTTAAAGCTCAACATTCAGAAAACTAAGATCCTGGCGTCCAGTCCCATCACTTCATGGGAAATAGATGGGGAAACAGTGGAAACAGTGGCTGACTTTATTTTTCTGGGCTCCAAAATCACTGCAGATGGTGACTGCAGCCATGAAATTGAAAGACACTTGCTCCTTGGAAGGAAAGTTATGACCAACCTAGATAGTATATTAAAAAGCAGAGACATTACTTTGCCAACAAAGGTCCATCTAGTCAAGGCTATGGTTTTTCCAGTAGTCATGTCAACAAAGGTCCATCTAGTCAAGGCTATGGTTTTTCCAGTAGTCATGTCAACAAAGGTCCATCTAGTCAAGGCTATGGTTTTTCCTGTAGTCATGTATGGATGTGAGAGAGCTGAGAGCTGAAGAACTGATGCTTCTGAACTGTGGTGTTGGAGAAGACTCTTGAGAGTCCCTTGGACTGCAAGGAGACCAACCAGTCCATCCTAAAGGAGATCAGTCCTGGGTGTATTGGAAGGACTGATGCTGAAGCTGAAACTCCAATATTTTGGCCACCTGATACGGAAAGCTGACTCACTGGAAAAGACCCTGATGTTGGGAAAGATTGAGGGCAGGAGGAGAAGGGGACGACAGAGGATGAGATGGTTGGATGGCATCACCAGCACAATGGACATGGGCTTGGGTGGACTCCGGGAGTTGGTGATGGACAGGGAGGCCTGGCGTGCTGCGGTTCATGGAGTGGCAAAGAGTCGGACACAACTGAGTGACCGAAATGAAACTGAAATGCTATGCAGCTGTTTAGATCTATAAGTTATCTATTAACACAAACTATTTGTGAAAATATACCTGCATTGGGTCGATGCAGCATTAGTTGCATTCATTAGAGACAGGCACCTAGGAACCATGAAAGATCCCTTCACGGTTTAGATCTGGCTCCTAAAACTAGCCCACTGAGGACCAAGGCACACTGTTCTCTCACCCTCCAGGTCTCAGTTTTCACATTTAGAAATAAGGGCATTAACTCTCAAAGTCTCCTCCATTTCTAAAATGTTGAGGTTCTAAACTTATGGCAACTTTAGAAAGTCCTTTCTTTCATGTACATGAAGAGAGTGAATATAACTTTTTTTTTTCAAAAGATCTAACCCAATATACAAGCTGGCACTATTTCCCATTTGTATTTTATTCTCAAAAGCATTTCATTTACTCACAGAAAATACTTTATGTATGAGATGTGATTATTAAGTAATGAGACTGGCTTTTTCACACGTGGCTAGGGAATCAGAATCATAGTATTTGAGTCACAAGACGGAAAATTTCCAAAACTGAAGAACTGGAACGAAAAATAAAGAAACTCAATACTTGCAACTTTAATCCATGATGGGAAAGAACTGACCTAAAAAATGAGACTCAGATTCTCTCTCTGCTGTTTTTCAGAGAAGAATCTCAATTATTATTAGAATTACTACAATTCTATCACAGATTTTATTGTTACTATCATTTCAGCATCCAAATCTTAAGTCTTCTTAGATTCAGTGATTATTGCTACTGTAAAAAAGGTAAACACCAGACAGACTTTACACATTACCTTTATCATGCATATTTAAAGCTTTCAAGAGGTCTTCCCGGATTGGATACTTGGCTTTGTAACACAGCCTTTGAATGTTGGAAGCTGTGTCATCACCTGAAAGTGTAGTAAGATCTATACAGGTAACAGCCTTCAGGAGCCATGCAGCCTGGTTTGAAGAAAGTAAAAACAAGGTTTAAAAAGAAATAATTAATCTCCAATTCAGTTAGTTAGTAGAAACCCATTAGGTATATATGGGTGTTAAAATCTCATGTCTAGGGACTTCCCTGGTAGTCTAGTGGTTAAAACTTCACCTTCTAAGCTAAGAACGGGTTCAAATTCAATCCCTGGTAGGGGAGCTAAGATCCCATATGTCTTGGGGTCAGAAAATCAAAACATTAAAAATAGAAAAAACACTGTAACAAGGTCAAAAAAGACCAAAAGAAAAAAAAAAGGTCCACATCAAAAAAAAATCTTTAAAAACAAACTGCTTTAAATAAAATAAAATCTCATGTCTATGCTGTTCTGAGGTATACATTCTGATGTGTTCAAGCTTAACCAAAAAGATTAATGTTACCTAGAGTAAAATAAAAGGGGAAAAAATAGCTTATAAACATTTTTTCTTCCACAGATAACCCAAATGGAAGTTCCTAATAGAACAAGTCTCCCCACATGTGACTTTTGCATTCTCAACCACAAGGAGACTCAGAGATGGGTTGCCATTTCCTTCTCCAAAGGATCTTCCTGACTCAGAGATGGAACCCACGTCTCTTGCATGTTCTGCATTGGCAGGTAGGTTCTTTACCATTGAGCAACCTGGAAAGGTTCTACCCTGATAAGGGAGAACTCGGGAACAAAAGTTTCCATCTTATATTAGACCTCCAGCCCTGGGACCTGGAATGAGACACAATAGAGTCTCTACTTTCTTTTTTTTTTTCCAGTTTAATCCAATTTCCATTTTAAAACAATATTCACATTTCACAACTCATTCAAATAAATTCTTTTTATCTTTTCAATCAAATTATTTCTAAGGATGAGCAAAATGCAACCTATCACCCTAAAGGATTCAATCACGATATTTTGCCTCACTTGTGGAATGAACTCTGAATTCCCTTCAGTCATGAGATGCATAGCATGTCTTTGGTTGGTACATACTGAAGAATATGCTGACCACCAGTACTCTACAAAACACCATTTTCCAAATTTTGAAAGATAATTTGGGAAAATTAATCATACATTAAACATGATGATCAAAGAAAATCAACTCTCATAACCTCAGGGCCTCCACTAATGGACCCACCAGGTTTAGGTGTTATGGTTTTAAAATCAAAATAGAAGATAACCAAAGATGTGTCTAAGAAACTGAATAAGTGTGTTGAGAAAATATGCCATTTAATTCACTCATGAATAAAGATGCCTCAAATTCATGTGCAGCTTTGCCACTCAAGAATGATAAGATTTTAACCTGTTTGGATAAACATGTTATCTTTCTCCAACCCATCTTCATCATATATGAATTATTAAAATAAGTCATGGACAGCTGAAATCTTTTAAATTGAGATGCAGCTTGAGTGAAATTCAGTCTTGTGGCCTCGAGGGAAGAGATCAGACTTGTAAACCAAGGGAGAGAGTTTTTAAGAAAAGCCCTTACCTGCCACTCCTTTTTCACAGGTCTACGAGCCTGGATTTGTTCTGCACGTCTTAGCACTGCCGGTTTATTCACTTGTATTTTGGAGATCCAGCTTAGGTCTAGAAGCAAAAAGAACAACAGTTTAAAACTTGAAGATGTTATTAAATACATTCACTTGTTTTTTACACAGCCCTCAAAAGGAAAGACTTATCAGTATCAAAAGTTTTATTTACTTTTTTATTTTTTTAATTTAATTTTTTAAATTTTTTATTATTTTGGCTGCATCTCATAGCATGTGGGATTTTGGATCCCCGACCAGGGATCGAACCCATATCCCCTGCATTGGAAGCATAGTCTTAACCACTGGACTACCAGGGAAGCCCAAAACTTTTTTTAAAAAGTTGTATTTCTTTTCCGCTCAACTATAAATAAATTTGTTGAAGGAAGCCCAGCCATGAAAAGTCCTACTCTATGCAAAATCAAATACATTTGGAACTAGGAGACTCTGTACTGATTCATTACACAGGTACCTCCACCTAATGGTGGAGGAAAACATGTTATTCATGTCATGGGCCTTATTTCTGCCAGCAGAGAGTCATTTGGGATTGCCCAGTCCAGGAGAATGAATGGTTAATAAACACATAAATGAATTAACACTGGGGCTTAAAGGAATCCTTGATCAATATCCCCTCACTGATAAGATTAATATCTATTAGATGCTGATAGGATACCCCCATTCTTTCCTCAAAGGAGAATTTCTCAAAGTGTATTAGAAATTAGCGCATTAAAATAAAAAAAAAGTCAGAAGAGGGAAAAGAAAAAACAAGCTGCTCAAAATTCTGGGAGAGGGACTTCCTGATGGTCCAGTAGTTAAGACTCCATGCTCCCCATGTAGAGGGCCGGGAGTTCAATCCCTGGTCAGGAAACTAGATCCTGAAGCCACAACTAAGACCCAGCGCAGCCAAAAACAAAAACAACAACAAAATTCCCAGAAACATCTCTGTTGCTTCTGTTGTGAAACGCACTCTCCTATCCGTAGGGCTTCCCTGGAGGTTCAGTGGTAAAAAAATCTGCCTACCAACGCAGGAGACAGGAAAGGAGCGCTCGATCCCTGGGTCAGAAAGATCTCCTACAGGAGCAAATGGCAACCCACTCTAGTATTCTGGCCTGAGAAATCCCAGGGACAGAGGAGCCTGAAAGGGCTACAGTCCATGGGTTACAAACAGTCAGACTCAGCTGAGCAACTGAGCACACACACAGCTTGACAAATAAAATCTGCATATATTTAAGGTGTGTGTTTTGATAAACATGTACACTGTGAAAGAATCAACACAGTCAAGCTAATGAACATTACCTATTACTTCACACATTTACCATATTTTTTTTCCTTTTCATGTATGCTGAGAACATTTAAGATCTACTCTCATGGCACATTTCAAGTATACAGCACAGCACTGTTAACTATAGTCATTCTGCTGGACAAAAGATAAAAGGTCTTCAGGAATTTCCAATCTTGTGTAACAAAACTTTGTACCCCAGTTGCTTCTCATTAAAGGACCTTTGGATCTCTACGAGAGAAGTTGGGACTGAAACATGAATACAATACCTGAGGACATTCCCCTTAAAAACTAATTTTTACTACAATTTCCCACCAAAGATCAGAACCCACGAGGCTGGCTCTCACACGTCTCAGACACCACTTGCTAGAGGTCCTTGCAAACCATCTCTGGGAGAACGTAATAGGATCACTTCTCTCACAATATCAGCCTCCACTGCTAAAAATATCTTTAGTGGTCATAAAATCAGCCCCACAGTTAATCCAGCCACAGAATTTGCCTCTGTGACCTCCCATGATAATGAATTATACAAGTGACTATCCCATTTTATTAGCACTTAATTTGCTACTCTTTAATTTCATCAGATAACCCTTGTTCTCCTATTATGGGGTCTAGGGAAAAGAAAGGCCTGATTGGCCTTTGTTATGTCCTTCATAATTTTTAATATTTTATTCGAGTACCCTTTAGCATCTCCTTTCTCGGAGAAGTGATTCTAAAGCACACAATCTCATCAGGACCATAGAAGTTTCTCTTAGGGGGCCAGGAGGGGTTTCAAGCACATGTGTCTTTGGGGAGAACAGGCGTAAAGCCATAATTGGAAGGCGATAATACTCCTTTCAGAAAACTCTTCCATGGAGAAAATCCCAGCGCTCCTCTTAGTATGCCATTTCAGGGGCTTTCAGGCCCTTCTTTCAATTATAAATTTGTTCTTAAACACTCTTTTCACATTTTTTTAATCATTATTGTCTTTCTTAAGTCTCCGTGGAGACAGACGTCATTTTCCCTGAAAACTGACACTTCACCTTTCCATCGCTTCCTCTCATGTTAATGGCTATTCCCGCACTTCTTCCCAATATTCCTAAAACGTGTAATACCAAATGATAACTCCACAAAAGGAGGTTTAGATTGTATTTTGATTTTATCTTTGCTCCTAATGGAGAAAAATACATGGTGATACTTCATCAGAGACTTTCTCGAATTTGGAAAAGTAAGAAAGATTAAATTTCCTATGTTTTCACTTCTTATTCTTTCTGGGTTTTTATACCTAATTGTACCACTAAATTTGTGCCTGAGTGGTTGTCCCCAAACAGTCGGTTCTTGAGATGCACTTCCATAATATATTTTTAATCCCAGCATCTATTAGAGTATCTCTTCCTATTGTAGGCACCCAGATGTGTTTCTCCTGTGTTGTTTATCTTCAGTTCTAGTTTGCAACTTGCTAGCAGTCAGTCACAAATGCCAAGCACAGAAATAGGTGCTCACTAAGCCCACCACATCACAGTAAATTTGTTTTTTTACCTTAGACACTGAACAACTGAAGTATCAACTTCATCGTGTCTAGTCTTTCAAACTTAACCTTGGAAAAGTTTAGCTTTTTTTTTAAAAAAAAGCCTTGGATGTCAATATATAGCTGATCCAGTCAAGCTCAGAAAATATTCAGTTTATATTAGTGAGAAGACTCAGCCTCACCCAGTTTCTACACCGTAAAAATATAAGACAGAGACTGTGCTAAGAGCTTCATCATTTCCAACAGGTGGGGTCTAGAACGAGTCTTCATTTGCAGGTCTAATCTAATATCCCAAAATACAAAATATATTTCTGTTGGTATATGTGCGAAAAAATAATAGAATATAGACCAAATTGATAACAATGTTTGTCTTCAGAGGTAGAATCACGTAAGATTTTTGCTTTCCCATGCTTTATAGTTACATAATACTTAATTTTTTTTTTTTACTTAAATTTTTTACAAAGAGCATGCATTACCTTATTGAACAGTAAAAACAAAACATACTTAACTCTTTGGAATTAAGAGGCACTGACAGATAGCAGTGTGCAGGTTAGGAAGAAAGGGAGGGAGACTGAGTGGGTGAACCAGTGGGTGAACCAGTGGGTGATGCTGCTGGAGCCCAGGCATCAGCACATGTAACATGTCTCTGGGGCATTTCACCACACCAATACTTGCATGACCGATCCTCGGCCACAGAGCTCTTCCACAAAACCAACCTGATATGACTACAAGGTGCCAGGCAGACAAGATAAGGTCAGATGCCACTTTTACTGCTTCCATAGAAAAGGTCACCAAAAACCTTAGCACCATGGGTCACCAGACAGAACCTTATTATTATATGAACCATATATGATATCAATGGGGCTTCCCCGGTGGCTCTGTTCACGGAATTCTCCAGGCAAAAATACTGGAGTGGGTTGCCATTTCCTTCTCCAGGGGATCTTCCTGACCCAAGGATCAAACTCCCATAAACTATGTATTTGGGATTAGGCTTTTTTATTTAAAAAAAAAAAAATCTATCAGCAACAATGACCTCAAAATAGTATGTTTAATAAAAAATTAGGAACTTCCATGGTGGTACAGTGGCTAAGACTCCACACTTTCAATGCAGGGGGCCAGGGTTTGATTCCTGATCAGGGAATTAGATTTCATATGCCACAACTAAAGACCAAAGATCCTGTGTGCTGAATCTAAGACCCAAAGTGGCCAAATAAATAAATATTCTTTTGAAAAATTAAATTCTGAGTTTCCATTTCTCAGAAAAGTTCATGATCTGCAGTTTGCACAAAATGCTTCTCAACATTTCAGTTCAGTTCAGTCGCTCAATCATGTCCCACTCTTTGCGACCGCATGAACCACCACACGCCAGGTCTCCCTGTACATCACCAACTCCCAGAGTCCACCCAAACCCATGTCTATTGAGTCGGTAACGCCATCTAACCATCCCATCTTCTGTTGTCCCCTTCTCCTCCTGCCCCCAATCTCTCCCAGCATCAGGGTCCTTTCAAATGAGTCAGCTCTTCTCATCAGATGGCCAAAGTACTGGAGTTTCAGCTTCAACATCAGTCCTTCCAATGAACACCCAGGACTGATCTCCTTTAGGATGGACTGGTTGGATTTCCTTGCAGCCCAAGGGACTCTCAAGAGTCTTCTCCAACACCACGGTTCAAAAGCATCAATTCTGCGGTGCTCAGCTTTCTTTATAGTCCAACTCTCACATCCATACATGACTACTGGAAAAACCATAGCCTTGACTAGACAGACCTTTGTTGACAAAGTAATATCTCTGCTTTTTAATATGCTGTCTAGGTTGGTCATAACTTTCCTTTTAATTTCATGGCTGCGGTCACCATCTGCAGTGATTTTGGAGCCCAAAAAAAATAGTCAACCACTGTCTCCACTGTTTCCCATCTATTTGCCATGAAGTGATGGGACCAGATGCCAGGATCTTAGTTTTATGAATGTTGAGCTTTAAGCCAGCTTTTTCACTCTCCTCTTTCACTTTCATCAAGAGGCTCTTTAGTTCTTCACTTTCTGCCATAAGGGTGGTATCATCTGCATATCTGAGATTATTGATATTTCTCCCAACAATCTTGATTCTGGCTTGTGCTTCCTCCAGCCCAGCGTTTCTCAGAATGTACTCTGCATATAAGTTAAATAAGCAGGGTGACAATATACAGCCTTGACGTAGTCTTTTTCCTATTTGGAACCAGTCTGTTGTTCCATGTCCAGTTCTAACTGTTGCTTCCTGACCTGCATACAGGTTTCAACATTT